TTTAAAGTAGAGAATGATTACAAATTCATCTGGATAAAGGATGGGAGGATCTTTCTCAGAAAAAATGAAACCAGTAAGGTACTACAAATTGAGGATGAAAGTGATTTAAAAAACTAAGTGAATCCAAGCTCAGGATTGTCTACACCAACATAAGAAGTTTAAAAAATAAACTCGATGATATGCAGTGTTTTGTGAAATCAAAGGAAGCTGACGTGTTAATACTTAGTGAAACATGGCTATATACAAATGAAACTCAATTCTACAAGCTGGAAGGCTACTCTGGCCTTCACTCATGCAGAGATACTAAAGGTGGTGGTGTTGCAATATACACAAAATCGAACTTAAAAATAATTGAGGTATATCGGTCAGATTCTGCAAATTTGTGTAATATTGTGACTCAAAGCATAGGTAGTAGGAATGGACTCAAAGTGAGTGCAGTATATCGCCCCCCAACATACCCTGTAGAAGACTTGCTTCAATGTTTGGAAGATCTCCTAGGCAAATATCCAAAAAATCATATTATCGTAGGTGATTTCAATCTTGATCTGTTAGACAATAACTCTCCAAATGTAATTCGTTACAAAAACTGCTTATCATTAAGTGGCTTCAAAATCAGAAACAAAATAAACATAGAAAACGCGACTAGGGAAGGAAATGGAACAAATACATTGATAGATCATGTGATAGCGAACACAAAAAGTTATTGTAATTGTACAACAGAAGAGAATAGTTTGTCAGATCATAAGATACTGAATATAGAAATATTTGAAAACAAAATATACAAGCCTAAGAAAATCATGGAAAAAACTGTTCTAAATCAAGAAAAATTCAAAACATCATTCTCGAATAAGATAAATGAAATAGAAATAGATTCCTTTGATCAACTAATCAATGGTATAAAGGTGAGTAAGAAAGAATCCACCCACATTGTGAAAATTAGATGTAGAATTGACCATCCATGGGTCAATAAAGAATTACTAAAATTAATTAATAAAAGAGATAACTTATATAAACTTAAGAAGAAAAATCCAAATAATGCAGAATATATGGAAGGTTTTCAAACACAGAAAAAAATTGTTAACAAGAAAATAAGACAACTAAAAAATGACTATTTCAAAAATGAATGGAAAAAAAACTGGAACTAATACAAAAAAACAATGGAAATTTATAAATAAATTTATCAAGCCAAAAGAAGGAAGTGATGAATGCATTGACTCCATAGTAGTTGAAGACAAAGTCATTGAAAACAAAACTGATATAGTGGACCATTTAAACTATTATTTTGTAACAATTGGTGATGAGATTGTAAAAGATATAGAAAAAGAAAGAAATGATCAAATTGAGACCTTGAATTTTGAAGTTATCAATTGCAAAGCAAATTTTCAGTTAGAATATACGAATGAAAGTGAAGTAAAGCAGGTGATTACAGAATTAAATGAGAACTCAGCATGTGGATCAAGTACTTCCGATTCTAGTTAAGTTGATAAACGAGGTTTTTACAACATGTACATTTCCAGAAATCTTGAAAACAAATCGGGTATGTCCTATCTACAAATCTGGTAAAAAAAAATGTGTTAGGAAATTATAGACCCATATCCGTTGTGAGTGTCTTATCCAAAATTATTGAAATATTGCTGAAAATTAGAATAATGAAATTTCTCGAAGAAAATATTCAGGCAGATCCATACCAATACGGATTCATTAAACAAAGTAATACCCAAAGTGCAACGGTAGACTTAATTGACTTGATTTCTTCAAATATGGACAAAAAAAAGTTGTAATAGCAGTGTTTATCGACCTTCAGAAAGCCTTTGATGTTGTTGATCATGACACATTGTTGCAGAAACTAGAGAAGATGGGGTTAAGGGGTCAGATATATAACTTGATAAGATCATACCTAAACGGCCGAAGACAGTATGTCTACATGGACAATCATGCAAGCAGCATACGTGAAATAAAAAATGGCGTGCCTCAAGGTTCCGTCTTGGGTCCGCTCTTTTATTCTTTACTCGTGCTCAGTCTAAAATCTGCTGAATTAAATACTCGCTATTTTACATTTGCTGACGACACGGTCTTGACGTATACTGGCACAAATATAGAAGAACTCAACAACCTCGTAATCGAAGATATGAAAAGATATAAAAACTGGCTCTTACATAACAAACTAAAACTCAATATGAAGAAAACAAAATTTATAATTTTCAAACAAAAAAATGTGAGCATTGGTGGCGTTGAAATAAAAATAGGTGGAGAACAGGTTGAAAAGGTTTACAATCTCAAATAATTAGTTCTCATATTGGATGAAAATTTGAGCTGGAAGCACCACATAGATCACATAACTAAAAAAATGTTACCCATGGTTGGAGCACTATTTAAATGCAGGGAATATCTGAGCACTGAAGTGAAATACATGATCTACAACTCATACTTTCTGTCGATCTTTAGGCATCTGATCGTAATATGGGGAACATGTAATAAAACGTCATTTCAAGAAATGCAAAGATTGCAAAACAAGGTTATTAAGATATTATTCTCTATCAACTACTTAACACCAACGAATACTGTATACGAAACAACGAAATTAAACAAACTAAATGAAATCCTAAATTTAGAGCAATGTAAACACACATACAAAATAGTAAATCACAAACAAAAAACAAATATAAATTTCTTGAACCTCAATGAAATACATAACTATAACGTAAGAAATCAAAATAACATATACCTTCCAAATATTCGAACAAATGTTGCACTGAATAATCCTATGAATAGGTGCATACATGTATATAATTCAATACCACAAGCATTTAAGGAAATACCAAATGAAAAGTTATTCGTTAAGGAAATTAGAAAGTACCTGAAGAATTCTACTGTATAAAAATCAATATTAATTCTATGAATTACTATATTTCCATTGTACATATAGGACAGAATGTTATTAGTTATAATCCCCGTTACCAGTATTTTCTACTGCTTTGGGGTTTTCTTGAATTGGGACTATGCAATGTATAGATTATGAAAGTTGAAAATGTGTAAAAGTATTGTATGTATTTATACCACATTGTAATCAAATCCTGATTAAAGATATATTGCTTAAAAAAAAAAATAGGGTCAAACTAGTTGCATACGCAGATGACTTGGCAGTCACAGTAACAGCAAAGACAAGGGAACAAACAGAAGAAACAGCACAACATGCTATAAACATAATAGTGAACAGACTGGAGGATATGGTGCTTAAAGTGACAGTAGGTAAAACAGAAATAGTGGCACTAGCAGGGAAAAGAAAAATGAGCGACTCGTCTATCAGAGTAGAAGTTAAGAGTATCCGCATGGCAGAAGAAATAAAATATTTAGGAGTGTATTTAGACAAGGGAATGACGATGAAAACACATGTCAAAAAATCTGTGAAGAAGCAAACGAAGTCATGAACAATCTAACAAGAATAAGATCAAACATAGGAGGAACTACTGCTAGCAAGAAAAGAGTACTTATGACCGCAGTAACATCAATAATACTGTATGGAGCGCCAACATGGGAAAGAGCTCTGAAATTCAAGAAGTACGAAATGATGCTCGAAAGAATAAACAGGAGAATGGCAATAAGAATAACTTCCGCATATAGGACGGTTCCCACAACTGCAGTACTTGCTATTGCAGGAATCGTCCCTATCAAACTCAGCGTTGAAGAAAGGTCTAACATATACCGAAGAGGGCAGGCACACGTGAGAGAAGAGCAAGAAGATACCATAACAAAATGGCAAACAATATGGGAAGACTACGGAGGGTGGACCAAGGTTTTTATAAAAGATGAAGAAGAAATGATGAAGAGAGGAAATGGGGGGAAGTAGACTATTTTCTAACTCAAGCATTCACTGGGCATGGGGTTTTTGGAGAATATCTCCAAAAAATAGGAAGAGCAGAAAATAATGGATGCTGGTATTGCGATAATCCAGATCCAAACATACACTTTTTGAATGTGTGAGATGGGAGGACATAAGGAGGCATGCTAACACAGCTTGTGGGGCAGTCATAACTGAAATGAATATTGAAGAAATTATGATGCAGAGTGAAAGCTTGTGGAATGAGGTAACGGGGATGTTGAGAAAGATTATGAAGGAAAAAACAAAAGAAGAAAGGATAATCAGATCGATAACATAGACCTCTGGATTCGTTCCGAAGTAATGCCTATGGCGGTTTCCGGAACGTCTCTAGTGAACAACGAGGTGGGTTTTGGTGAGGTAGGCAGGATTTTGCATACACGAAATCCTGAGTCCCACACTCCCTGATGCGATAGACTCAAAGCGCAGGGGTAGAACATGAGTTTTTCCCACACGACAAAAAAAAAGATAGATAGATAGATCGATAGATAGATAGATAGATAGATAGATAGATAGATAGATAGATAGATAGATAGGGCTCGGTTTACATGCAAGCATGATTCCACATGAATCATAAGTATATAGTAAATAATGTAGGTACATTACACATTACAGAGCTATACGAGTTCCTAAGAATACATGATAGCCACATTTGCAAATTACGATCGTTCATTATGAACGAATGATTGTATGCATCATACATGAATATTGTTTAAAAGGGAACAAAATTGGAGATTTAATGAGCTTATAGAACAGACAGTTCGAAAAATTGAGTACGCCACTGGATTCAGCGTAAAATTATCTATGGAATGAGATTTCAGTTTGACATTTTCGATGAGAAACTTCGTAGATAGGGATTTTCCCAACCGGTAATGGTTGGTATGTTCTTTGTCCATTATCCTTTGCCTGGATTTGTCATATACTCTTTAACAATGGTCATTTGTAGATCGCCAAAGCTTTCTATCCCCCCCCCCTTCTAGGTACGCACGATGTTCTCCGAACACTATCGGGATCTCCTTTCGTGCACTCTATGAGATGAAAAAAAGAAAACAGATCTTGTCGAAAAAGAGTCAAAGTTGGAGTGATGCACTTAGTGTTTCGACAACTGTATTTACTCACCTACCTGAACTATTTGGTGTACAGTCTGCTGTTGAGGAGGTTTTTGTTCATTTCGTTGGTGATGTTGGGGCTGCTGTTCATGCAGTTGATGACGATCTAATTTTAGGATTTTTGGTTGCTGAATATCCTGCTGTAGTTTAAGTTGTGATACTTCATGAATATTTTGATCCGGCAGATTGTGTTGTGTGATTGAAACAGGTTTTTCTAAATCTTCATTGATGTATTCTATAAAAAAAACTATTATTTCTCAACTGCTACTATTGCATTCATATTGCAAGAGTTATAACAATAGGATTATAAAGTGATCTGACAATATAACATAATCTCCGTGGTATCAGCAATGAAAGTAATTATTTCTAGTATGATAATAATTCAAACTGAACTTCGAATACAAATCCCATAGTTTTTATAATGGAATTTCTTTTGATAATACATTCATAGACACGAGAATATTGTAATCAAGGATGGAAAATTGCAACTATGAATTTTTCAGATCAATCCAAATCAGTTTTGAATAATCTGTTTAAAATATTGTTCAGCGTCGTGAAGTGATTACAAGGTGAAGAGCTACATGTTGATTATACGGGGGTGTAGACATTGACGAAAGGAAGTATTCAATAACATAAACAAAATTAATTCGATGATAACGGCATCATAACAATTACTAAAAGTGTTTGGGGCATTTAATAAAATATTTCAGGGTGACCGGTTTTTTGCCGAGTGAATATTAACCACGTCCTGTTTACTTCTGAAAGCAGTTTATTTCGAAATGTCGGTCCGAAAATAGTAATTTGATTCTCAATTTTTTCATGATTTGTGTACATAGTGGTGTTATTCGTCCAGTAAAAATAGATTAGCCACGTGTGTATGGTTGGTATTGTTCATTTGGTGATACAATTATACATATTGATCAAAATGGGTGCGAAATACATTAGGAAAGAGGAAGTATACAGCATTATTTCAAATATACAAGGTGTTTTTGAAATAAGTGCACATATTCAGCACATTAATATGATACAGTCCAAGGAATATTTCCATGATATCACATTTGTTCTGATTCTTTTAATTAACAAGAAATTTCATCCTAAAAATTTAACAAAATACGAGAAAAAAATCAAGTACGCCACTTTAAAACAATTCAAATGAACTCCGCGCCGATTGATCGACGGACGACCCGTTGGCTCAATTGGCAGAGCGTTGGGCATGTAACCCAGAGGTTGTGAGTTCGACTCTCACACGGGGCGGTGGAGTTTTTTCATTTTCCATTGTCACTGGAAATTAGGGCTTTCCATCATCTTCATTATAAATTAGGGCTTTCCATCATCTTCTTGATTATAAATCTATTTGTGTTCACATTTTGTACTGCGAAATGAAAAATTGAATGCATATATAAAAATTGGGAGGATTTTTTCCTTCACTACTCCCAGATTCTGTAGCCACTGAATCACTTTATGAAATAATTTTTATTTTATCTTATAGAGCATGAAAAGTTCAGTACATGAGAATTTTTTTTGATTTATCTCAAACCGTTTTGAACTTTTCAACACCCTATATCCGGAAAACGTCGTGTTCTCTTCTCTCTTTTTATTATTTCAACAAGTCCATTACACTGTTGAATTTTTTGTATTACATACCGGACCACCCTGTATATTGAGATTTCTGGACTGATTCTGGGGTTCTTGATTACCCTATTTTCAAATGCTTTGCTATTTGATTTGTGCCAAAAAACAATAATTGATTAGTTAGTAAAAATTTGCCATATTCATTTGACATGGATGGGTAGGGTTTCTGAGGTATAATGAAATTATGTGAAGAAAAAGTTGTGGACACATAGGATTTTAGCCTCAAATTAGCCTCAATAATAGGCGAGAACACAATAGCACGAATTCAGTTCAAATGTGCATAAGAAATAAATATAACATTGAAATAATGTGTACCAGTAGTTTTTTCAACAATAAATGCTGTCATTATCCAAAGAACGCGTTTCCAAAACCATACAAATTTGTGGACCATTCAAAAAAACAATAATGGCGGAAACGTGATGACGTAACAAGTATTGGCGTGCATTTGGCAACGCTGTACATATTTCCTAACCTAAGAAACCGAACTCCTAAACATCAGAACATCAGAGTTTTTCTGTGATTTTTCATCTGCTTAATAGAGTTGAATATTTTCATGGGTAATCAAAATATTCAAATCATTGTGACTATTATTGTGACATAGTCTGATGGTTCATGTTTATTGATTGGAGATATGGAGCCAGTATTCGAAATCTTCCAGTAGTTGATTCAACTATGGTTTTTGAATTCTTCAAGTTCAAATAACTGGCATGAGCTGTTTCATAAATGTGAAGATTAGTCCAGAACATAAAGTTCGTCCTACACCATAAAGAGTTGAGGCTGAGATTCATGAAGCTGAAGAAACTGTAGTATGGATTGTGCAGTTTCGAAAGGTAAATAGATTAGGTACATAGATTCTTGACTTTTTTATAAACTGTATTCTTTTATATTCTTAGGTAGATGTAAACACACTGTGGCTTTCTTATTATGGTTACATGGAAGATCAGTAGAACCCTCTGTACATTCTATGGAGTGTTACTGAAAAGTGTCCAACTCAGTGTCCAAACTACCAAATTTTTGAGCTTCCTATCAACATTGCCCGTTCATGCCACTTGTAGAATTAGCACCAAAACAAGTTCCTACCCTCCCAGTGGTTCCATCAAAATTTCTTGAGGAAGTTTTTCAAGTAGATGGAAAACATGGATGCCAAGGATAACTGTTTCTGAAAGAGTTTGATTCTGATTCATAAGCTAATTATTTTGTCCAGAAAACATTCATCCAATTTGTCTCCTGAGGGATTCCAAGACTTCATTCATCAGAATATCAGTGACAGTGATTGTGAATTGGTGCAAGATATAAAAGTGAATCGAAACAAATCATCATTATCAGCATGGTTTGAAGTTTGCTATGGGAGAAGTACTGCTTCAAAGCTATGAGGCACAAAGTGCAAGACATTGAAAGGTACATTAGATGAGCAGGAGAATTTTGAGAATAATGGTAGTTTTCAGTTACTTGAAGTGTCATATGACCCTATATTCCTTTAGAAAATTATAAAAGATGCTGAAAATTTTTGTCAAACTGTTATTTTCACCCATTTAATGGAATTATAAAATATCAGTACTACAGTACTTTTTTCTTCTTATTTCAAAATTGGACTTATTTAGAGCTCACCAGTGTCTTATAAATAACATATTTCATCATACACAACTTCAAAATCCCTTCTCATATTGATCATACACTATACCTTCACAAACTGGAGATGGTAGGTATATGAAATTCATGTTCATTTCTTGTCGAACAACCTAGTTCATTCATACTTTATTGTCAGTGGAATATTGGTAAGAAAGACCAATACCTATCATTCCAAAAAAGTAATGAAAGTAGTAAGAAAAAAATCCAGTAAGTATAAACCAATAAGAAAGTACTGGCATATCTAGAAATGATGGAAGATACAACATCAATTCTCAATGCGAAAAACGAAATCATACAAGCCAAAATTACTAGATAGGTATTGTCACTATTTCATGTGGGGAAAATTTGTCAAAAATGTAAACAAATAGGTAGTACACAGAAATTATCAAATGCCCCCATCTTCAAAATGAAGCAAGAATGCTCAAGAATGTTGGTGGAAATTATCATTTATTGTCCACTTTATGCAGTAGATATAATTAGAACAGTTGAATATCAATAGACCTCCTGATAGATATATTTCATTTCTAGAATGAATATAGATGTAGAACATTGAAATATTATATCAATATCTTGTCCAGATCACAGAGTTTGCAAGAAAACAAAGTATTTGATGTCAGTCTCTTCCATGACAGGTTTCTTTTCAGGTTCTTCAAGAAAATTTTCTTCAACTAAAACATTCACTGGTACTTCCAAGAATTTTACTCAAGGAGAGTCAATATGAATTGGGGGAAGTTCCATTTTATCTTATCTCCCAAATCCTCAAGGGATTATTGAGATCTCCTTTTTCGTGCTGAAGATGAAAGTTAGGATTTTGATGGGTGTTTTCTAAGTTTTGGACGTTTAATGAATATAATATATGAGGAATCACATCTTCAGGCATATAAACTCTAGATCCAATGAGTTTTAATTCCACCCAGTTCAACATGTCATATTCAAGCTAGAACAAAATGAGTATGATCAAACCATATTGAAGAAAAAAATCTACTCACATCAAAATGATCCTCACAGCAAAATATATCATTTGATTCCAGGTATGGTTTATCCCTCCCTTTCCATCAATATATAATAATATCATATATATCATAAAACAGATTGCTGTCAACAACGGATACAACGTTAATTTGATAGACAGTATTCTTTCTAAAAAACTTCATCATAAAGCTATTCAAGAAGTTTATCCTACCATCAAGAATAATAATCAAAATTATAGAACTTCAACTTATTTCGGATCATCAACTGAGAAATTAGCTTCATTTCTACATAAACAGGACTCAAAAGTGGCATATAGAACAAATAACACGTTGGGACGGTTCTCGGGACGGTTTATCAAGAATAATAAAGACAAAACTTCTTAATTCGAAAAATCAGGGGTATACAAACTCAAATGTGGATCTTGTCCTAAGGTATATATCGGTCAGACAGGTCGTACGTTTAATCAGCGCATTCATGAACATAAGATGAATTTTACGAAAAAGAAAACAAATTCAACATACGCCAACCATATATTAGAAGAAAACCATAGTTTTGATGATAATTTCGAAATTCTGCACGTAGAAATTAAAGGACTGAAACTCAATCATTTTGAATCATTCACCTGACGAAGCTACTGTGTTAGCGAAACATGTCGTGTGTTTAAAAAATTTTTGTGGAAATCTTATCGTTTGTGAAGTTTTTACACTCAATGGTTGAGCAAGCAAAAGCAATGATTGAAAAAAAATGATGTCTGAAAAAAGGCAATAGTCTAGGCTAGAATCAGAGCCCTAAATCATGATAAAATATTCAGTTTTGTGATTGAACTTTTTTGATTTGCTATTGGTTTGTCATGTTAGCATATCGGATTTGTGAAAATTTTTGCAAGAAATTATGAGCAAAAAAATCACTGATAAGCTCAACAGAGAGCCTTATAATAGCTTCAAATCATGATATATTGTCAATTGTCAATATTGTCATAATACCCATTCTATTTGATGCTTG